ATTATGGGCATAAGCCCATAAACATATACAATTTCAAGATAAATATATAACGCATATGGGATGAAAAACATACATATATAGGTTATTTAAGATAAATGCTATACCATGTCCACATGCTATAGTTATTCAAAAGTTAGTTGAGCTAATAAATGGTAAAAAATATTAACCTAAGACATCAAAAGCAAAGGTACTACCTTCAAAGATAGTGAAACAACTCTGGAAGGAAAAAGAAAAAGAGACGTTTAGAATAATAGAAATCATCTAATGGTACTAAAATGTCAAGAAGAGGAAGGAGGATGACTTGTAAAAATTATTATAAGAAAGGACACAATAGGTCTACATGTCCTAAGAATCTCAAGAATAAGAAAGTTAATATTTTTAATTATAAAACCTATTTGTGTTTCTATTTTTTTGTTTACAATTGTCACTCTCATATGAAGGTTGATGATGGTGGTACTATACCTACTAGACCAACTAGACTAGCTAATATTGAGGTTGAACAATGTCCAATTCAATCTATTTCAAACTTTGGTTCTATTATGGTATAACTTCGTCACAATTGATAAGGTAAAAATGATTAATTTTTACTTATTTTTATAGTCTTTTTGCTTCAATTTAATTATGATGCATTGTTTATATATTTTTTTTATTTAGTATTAGAGGAAGAGTAAGTAGAAGGTTGGAGTTGTTTCATCCGACAAAAGGAAAATGAATGAGGATATGTCTATGAGTAACAAGGGCAATGAGAAGGAGAATGTTAGTGGACTTGTTTCTAAAATTACTTCTATTATGTTGGAACCTATCACCATCGATTAGGTATAAATAAATAATTTTATAGTTTTTTTTATTCAATTTAATTCCAAACATTGTTTATATTTATTTTTTTAATTTGGTATTAGAGGAAGAGAAAACAAAGGGTTGGAGCCGCTTTCTCTTACAAGAGGAAAAGAAATGATGATATGCCTTTGAGTAACAAGGGTAAGAAGAATGAGAAGGTTGATGAACTTATTTCTGGAATTAATTCCGTTATGATGGAACTTGTCACTCGTTGATTAGGTATAAATGATAATTTTATTATTATTTTGAATTTGAAAATCGAATTGGTTATAGAATTGGTAGAACTTATCACCAATTGTTTGTTTATTTGGAATTATTTGTTTAGTTTAAGAGTAAGGGAAAGCGGAAGATTGGAGCTACAATTGCGAAGAGGGAAAAAATGATGAGGACTAATGAATAACAAGGGCAAGCAAAAGGACAAGGAAGATTGACAAAGTCAAAAGAAGAAAAAGAATGATGGTGATGGAATAGGGCAGATTAGCAAAGAGAAATTTGTTGAAAGTTTTGAAAAAAACAAGATCAAACTCCCAAGGTAAGAGGGTTATAAGAGCAAGTATTGAGAAAAAAATATTGTTTAAGGTACTATTCGAGATTTTTCCATAATGACGGACTTTAGATGTTATTTGCTTATTATGTAACTTTTAAAGGTTGAATGTTAGCTTAGTTTTTATTAACTTTTTGGATGTTGCTAAAGAACATGTAATATGTCATGAGTTGATGAAGAACGTTTGACGAGTTAAGAACATTTAACTTTTAAGCTTAGGATGTTCTAGAATATAATTTGCACACTTTTTTTTTTTATATAATTTCTTCTAATAGCTCAAAAAGAATATTAAATTTTAAAGGTTTTTTCTACTATATATTTTTACCAAGTATTCAAGCATAGCTAGTAATTACAATTTGAAAAAAAAATTAATTTAAATTCTTAAAAGCCACTAGGCAAATATATTGAATAACATAAATATATGTAGACATCCTCCCTCCGAAAAAAAAATAATTTAAATTCTTAAAAGCCACTAGGAAAATATATTGAATAACATAAATATATGTAGACATCCTCCCTCTAGCTCGATCATTTGCATTAGACCTAAACCTAAACTCTCTTACTTGTTTGTGAAGTTTAACAAAGTCGATATCCATGTATTATATGGGAGAGACATGGTTGACCCTTCTTAACTAAAATAATAATAATAATAATTGAACGTACAATCTATTATTATAAACAAATATTTAAATGTAAGTTACAATTTATTCACCATGAATTAGAGTTTATTTTTTTTCCCATGATATGCGGTGAATACCGCTAAAACTACCTATGATCCTTGCATGTGATTAGGAGTTTGGTATAGTCGTCACTAGTGTTGGATTTTTAAAAAAATATATAAAACATATTAATTAATAAGTAATGTTTTAAAAGAAAAACAAGAATTTTGGTGGATTTCCATGCATGATCTTGTTGACTATATGCATCCGCAAATTATAGTTCCAAAATATAATCATAAGGCAAGGAATTGATGTCCATTTCATATAATCAAACCCAAAATATTACAATCACAATGAAAATCATTGTACAAAATAGCTTAAGAACACTACTAATTCTAGATTTAAACAACATTACATCAGCACAACTCAACTTTAGATCTTCAAGCTCCAGTAGTAAAACCTCTTTTTCCTTTTGTTTTTGCTCACCGTAAGCATTTTTCTCAATTCTCATAGTCTCCAATTCAATCAACAATTCTTCATTCTCACTTCTTAACATAGTAATTTCGTCATTCAATCTAACATTCTCCAAAATCAATCTTGAGTTCTCAACATGTATTTCTTATTAGTAATTTTGTAAACTCAAAACAATATCTTTAGCTTTGTCATCTAACTCGTCTTGGAACCACACTTTAAAATTGCACCCAATATCTTTTCTACCTTGAGCTTTGAATTGAAGTGCACAAATATAAAACTTTACACCTAGATGGTCATTACTCCAAGACACTATCTTACTTGTTTTCATGCTACGAGTAACAAAAAATTGCAAGTTCTTTCTCATCCCATTGTAATTCTTCATCATTGAGAGCATAAATTGATGAATAGTTGGAAGAGGAAGAGAATGTCGAAGATGAAGTCATTCTTTTCGAAATCGCAATTTCGAAATCAAGGATTAGAAAATGCAACAAAAAGAGAAAAAGGGAGAAAATGTTAAGAGGGAAATGGGGATTAGGGTTTATAATTTGAAAATTAGGGATTGGGTATGAGGGTTTGAAATTTGAGAATTAGAGATTGTAAGTTCGATCGTAGATTGAATAAGGAGGAAAGAGAAAAAAAAAAACTAAAATAAATCTAAGAGAGAGGGGGATTTTTAGTTTCTATCGGGTAAGGGTTGCATTGTATTTTCCTAAGCTATTCTTAGGTTTATTATTTATTTAGTTATTTAAAATTTATCAAAAAAAAAATTTATTTTTGGTAAAACCCGATTTTAGTCCATCACGACATGTAATAAGTCGTCATCGGCTAAAGTTTGTCACGTGTGCTTACATAGTACATTAGAGCTCGAAACAAGAACAACATAAGAGTAGAACTCTTAAATTGGATTAAAAAAAAAAAAACTTAAGGTCTTAATAAAAAAGTTCAAATTGTACGAGGTTTTGATATGTGCAAAACCTCCTCCTCCTCCTCCTTCTTCTTCTTCTTTTTTTTTTTTTTGTTTTTTTTTGTTTTTTTAGTGACATGCTCCTTTCTTGAATTCTTCTCTCTTGAGAGAAATTATTGTGCCCTAAAAAGCTCAAATTACTAGCAAAGGATGGCAAGTTGTATGTATATATGAATAGGGTCAAGGTTTATTTGTGGCTTGATTATCACTGAATTTCGATAATATGAAATTCATTTTTAAGGAATTCCATGCCGACTTTAGACTTGAACTAAAATGTATCGTACCTTTTATTATTGTAATTTTTTAAAATGGGAAAATTCAATATGGGGATTGTCTTTCCCAACACATCCAAAGTATTCTTCTCGTGTTAACACAATATTCATAAAAAAAAAAAAAAAGAAGAAATCTCAATTTACTTTTAAACCTATACATACATTCTTAATTGAGTTCTACATCCATAAGTTTTATTAAGTAAATTTTAAATGTTTAAAAAATAGTCTCAATTAGTTTTTTTTTTCTTGTTAATGTTTAAGGTTTAGTGTTTTCACACTAGATCTAAAATGTTAGTATATAAAATATAGTTTTTATACCTAATATATTGTTTTCACAATATAGTGTTTTAAGGTATAGTTTTAAACCTATACATACATCTCGTGTTAACATAGTGTTTTCAAAAAATGTTTCACAAACTTTTTCATCAAATTTTCTTTAAATTGATTCCATTTTAATATATAAAATATATAAACTAGACTTAAACTATTAAAAGAACGTGACAAAAAAAATACAATTAAAAAATATAAATGTTTGGAATTTTAATTAATAAAATTTATAAATTTGGAATATAATTAGAAAGGATTTGAAACTAAATTGAGGTTTCTCTTAGAAACTATCTATGTATCATAGAAATAGTTCCTCCGTCCATTAATATATAAATAAATGTACTAAAATGATTCCACCCTTAGAAAAAAAATAAAAAAGTAAATTATAAATTAGTCTCTATGTTTTTGAAAAAATAATGAATTAATCCTTTTTTTTTAAAATTAACTATTCAATTTATTAACTCGTTTTGATTTGCTTAATTTAATATTATTTATTTTATCAAATATTATTTTTTCTCTTCTATCATTCTTTTTTTCTTTTTACTTAATTTTTCATTATTTAATTTCTTAAAATAAATCAAAATAAATTGAAAAAGAGAGAAAATTTAAATTGCATTTTTTTTAAATAAAAGGGACTAATTAATTCATTTTTAATTTATATTTTTGGTTATTTTTTTTTAAAAATCAAATAAATTGAAAAATAATAAAAAGAATTAATTTACAAAAAAATTTTAAAATATAAAGATTAAATAATTTTTTTTATAATAATTTTTTTTTGAAACTAAGGAATTAATTTATAATTTAATCATAAAAAAAAAAACCCAAACGTTAAATAATAATAATAATCTAAGGACAGAGGCAAAGGCAGAGACAAAAAAGTAGAAAACAGAGGACAAAGGAAGGAAGAAAAAGAGGAGCGGGCAATGGAAAGCAGCAATAAGAAGAGAACAAGGGTTAGCAAAGAGGAGGTAATAGCGAAGCTAAAAGACGATGGTGACTTCGACAATCTACGTCTCAAGATCATTCGCAAGCTCAAAGACAACGTACATTCCCTCTTACCTTTTCATTCTTACACACACTCTCTCTCTGTGTCCTCGTTAGGGTTTTTTTTTTGCTTTTAATTTAACCAATGACGTTATAATTATCAAAATTTCTTTCAAATCAATGCCAAAGCACAAGAAAGAATGATTTTTTTTTTTTTTTAGTTTAGTCATAAAGAGACATTTTCTTTGGCGATTAAGAAATCGATTTGCATGTTAACTAAATTTTGAAGGGATTTTTCTTATTGCATTAATCAATTTGAAAGGTAAACTGGTTGTTATGCCCCAGATTAACAATTTGTGCTGTTAAGAAGGACGGAAAGGGGAAAGGATGGAGGAATAGACGGGAGAAAGGGTAGATATTAACCCTTCCATTGAGCTTCTTGCTTAACAAGGGACGGGAAGGATGGAAACCAATCCGCTCAAATCCGGTGGATTCCCTTCCTACCTTGGGTCCCAATCCTCCCCACTTTCCTTCCTACTAAGCGATTGTAAATGTTTTGGAGTCGGTTTGTAAATTCTGTCGGTTGCATATGCTGGCTATGTTATTATTACTTGTTACTACTGTGACTCCTTTACAATATGGAGATACTGAACTTCCTTTATCTTTGGACACTGAATCGAGTGTTGCATTGCAGAATGGAATTGCAGCGGATTTTAGATTTAAAGATTGACATAATGCATTTTACTTGATCTATAGCACTTTGGAGTCTTTTTACTTGGATCTGTAAAAATTCTTATTGCTTTTAGTTGTAATGGGTTCCTACTTATTCACCTATAAAACCTCGCTTGATACCCCACCAAACTGATGCTTTATGTAAGATGAAACGCTTGGTAGTCTTTGATCCTTGTTGCCACAAACTACTTACTCTGAAGCATATTGCAACCGACTAGGAATTTGGTTAAGAAAGGTCTGTTTGAAGCATTTGGTGTGTACTTGCTCCTTTTGCTACATCAGTATCTCTAAACAAAGGCACTGGTTGGCAGGAAGAGTTGCGCAACAGCATTATTTCCGTTGTGAGGCAGTCAGCAGCACTTAATCATGCTGGTGCCAACAATATGAAACCCAGACAGCTTTCTGATGCCATATATGATGAGGTTGGGTAAGTTCTCATTTTTATAAGCTACTTGATGATTTTGAATATGAATGCTGGGGGGTGGGGGTGGTTGTGTGGTGTTTAATTGTTTTCTGCAGTTTCAGAGATTTGCTTTTGTTAACTTTATTTTTTATTTTGGTGCAAGTCCAGAATTCAAGTTCAATTAGTTGGCAAAGAAATTGGAAACTGTTCAAGTATTGAATTGATTAAGTCTTGAAAATGCACATTATTTGATGATGGTAGGTGTTCTGTTTGTAATCACTAGGAACAAACTGACAAGCCAAATTTCTGATGGTGTGTGGGAAGTAATTAGATCAGTTGATGGAATGAAAAATGAAATCACAGAGACAGTGCAATCTGTCTATAATAAATTGGTTGAGCCTGAAAGGAAGGAAGAGGGTGAATCTTCTAGTCATGATGCAATGGTAGTCAAGAAGGGAACTGACAAAAAAGGTGTGGTAAAGACATCTGCTGTTGCAATGGATGATAACTTGTCTAATAGTGAGCCAAAAGAACCACCAGGCTTCTCTTTATCCAACAACCATCAGAACAGTAACCATGAAAGGAAAGAAGAGTTGTGGCTGCCTATGCCATGTGAAGGGCCTCTGGAAGCAAAGGAGGAAAGGCCCAACCATTCAGAGGACATGCTGGAGGTGAATGATATTGATCTTGGTGTCCCACCAGGCTTCTCTGCTGATGCCAAGCAGAAGGATCCTTGTGACGGTAGTGATGAAGACCCTGATGTGCCTCCTGGTTTTGGTTGACATGTCAACATCACCAAGTTTGTTGCTGCTATTCTTCCACCAGAATGTTTGATGGAGACCATGTGATGGTTGGTTGAGTTTCTAGAGCATTTCTTTTCCCTTTTTCCCTGAACAGAAGACAGTCTGAGGTCATGTGGTTCAGGCTTCAGAGAGTTTTGATATTTCATCATGCTTTGGGTTTTCTGGCATCTAATCTCCAATTTGGAATAGTTACTTGAAGCTTTTTGTGGACAAGCAAATTTTTTGAGGCTTAGTGCAACTGGCTATTTTCTCATTTGATTCATGGATCTGATTGAGCAAAATCCATGGAGACTATTGATGAAGTATGGAAGCACTTGTCACTTGAACTTTGAGGGTTTCGTCATTGTGGATTCTTTGTCACTGTATCTGCCTATGATAAGTGCTATTATTCAATCAACAAAATTGTAAATTATAGATAACTATTAGTCACGCCTGATTGCTTTCTTTTTGCCTATCCATCTGAAACTTTCTATTTATTGTGGAGCATCATTCAAAGCTCTTAAGATTCACCTTCTTTGCACCTGATGGCCTGAGTGTGTACAAACAGATTGTACAGTGGTCCGGCAACTGGGTGCAAATAAATAGATCTGTCCTGTACAGTTCCTTGTTTAAGGTTTCACTATCTCTACCCTCTAGTTACTTAATATGGTATGCGTCTTCATCTTCATGCTACATTGGGCCATGGAAGCTTGTTGTCCCTCTATGTATATTTGTTGGATGAGATATTTTTTGCAATCATCTCTGAAGAAAAGTGTTTTTGGTGGTTGCGTGACCTACTGTCATAGTCTATATGTTCTATATCCTTCATTTCTTCTGCTGTTGGATGGTAATTTCTTTTTGTTTCTCTGTAGTTAGTTTTTGTTCATGTGAAAAAGAGAACACTTGATAAAGAGTGCTTCCAATGATCAGATTATGGCAATCGCCCATTCCATTGGCATCTACCTGTGGAGTTCCTAGGTCCTAGGTTCATCAAACCCATATGTGGATTGGGGTATGGGAATAATTTGTCAGAAAGAAGAAAAGCAGCAAGAGTTTACTGCTGCGAGAAAAAATGAACCTTATTACTGGTCATTTGGTTTGAATTGAGTTTAGTATAAGGAGTCCAAGATTACATGACCGATACAAAGCTCTGCTTGCGGAGCATGCATAGGTGCATCTTTCCTACTTGAAACCTCTAGCAATTGGACTCCTAACTGAATACTTAGCAGAAAGCGATTTTATGTATCCCTGAGCAAAGCCACTGGTTTTGCCACCAAACTCAATACGAGAGAATGTTACCGAGTATGTTGCCTTCTGGTTCACCTTTGAAAAGTATAGTTTAGAAGGCTTGACAGTCACATCAACTCCTGGAGGAGGAACAATGGTCACAACATAAACTGAACTGGAAACTGCAACGTTTGTCAGTCTTTGTGAATGCCTGTGAAGGTCCAGTGTGACGGCAAAAGAAGGGTAGTATGCCAACTTTCTTATCTGCATAGCCCAGACCACACAGGTAAGGAAATAATCATCTGGTAGGAAGTTGTAAACTAATCCTGGGTCATTTGCCCATGATGGATTAACATGGCCTGCACCAGTGCATGTCAGCATCAGGCACTGCAGCGGTAGATTGGGCTCCGCCAAAGAAGTGGCAGCTGAATTGAAGAGATATTCAGGCTTATATAGTATATAATTCTTCAATTCAGAATCAGGAGTACGAAGATTAGTCATCACAAAAGTTGATTAGAGATTCCCAGAAATATCGTCATACATAAAACTGTACCGAAACAATTGCATTAACCACTTGAGCTATCCAACACATGAGAAAAAAAAAAAAAAAAAAAATTAAGAATGTTTTGGAGTCACTACTTCATATTGAAAAGAACTAGAAGTTTAAAGAAGATATTAGATTTAGAAATTTTGAGTAAAGAGTTGTTTATGGCTTTAGAAAGATAGTAATCATTTAAAGATACTATTTTCAAGAAAAGATGTTGAGTTTAGTGTAATCCTAAAAGTTATATTTGTCAAATTATTTTCTATGTTTATTCCCAAGTTTATTTGTCTAAGTTCAAAGAATGTGTTTTATTTTTATTGTGGACTTGTATTAAATTAATGTCGGGTTTTAAAATTAGGAGTCATCAATTTAATATCGGATTTAATTACGTTTTAACATGTTTGACATGCCAAGAAACACTATATGAAAATAGGCGAGTTAGTGATGAATTTTTTCGTTGCTAATTAGCCAACATTCGTAGCTAAATAAGCATAGTGACGGAAATAATGACCATCGCTAAACTTAGCGATAGCGAAAACCATTTCATCGCTATTATAGCGACATCATTTTCTTTGCTACAATTAAAATTTTTGTCGCTACATTGGTCATCGTAAATCATTGTAGAACGCATCATTATTTCATCATTAATTCCATCGTTGATTAATGATCGATATGTCGTCGTTGATATCCAAAGCTAATTATCGTCGTTGCTAAATTGTCGCTACTCTATCGTCAAAGGTTGACCAAATTTGTCACAAAGCCGTCGCTAGAGAAATGGAAATTTGTCTTCAAATACATCGCTATCCGTCGTTAATGATATATTAAAAAAAATTATATTTTTTACATTTTATTTGTTTATTTTTAAATTAATAATATTCTCGCTAGAAAAAAACATTCGAGTAGTGCATAATTAACAATTAGAAGAAATAATGTATAATTTAAATATTATAAATTAAATATAAATTAATATTAACAAAAAAGCATTCAAGTAGTATGTATAGAAAAAAAATACAAAGTAATAAAGTGTCACTCTCGAGGATCATCCCGATCATTTAATCCCCTGTTCTCCTCTTAGGGCTCGACGGGAGGTTGGACAAGAGGTTGGATTGGAGGCTAGGTGGAAGGAACAATGGAATCTTGATATAAAGGCAATCCGGATGTCTATGCCGGCTGATCAACATGGAGGCCATCGTTTCATACCGAGAATTAAGCTTATGTATGGTACTCTGCTACTCCGTGATAAGGTTTTAAAGCTTGTGTTGTCTAACCTCGCATCCTTTTCATCGCTTCTCTTGTCTCCTCGTACGGCCTTCGAATCTCCTCATTAGCAATGTCATCGGTGTAATGCGACTATGTAGAGGAGGAGGCTGCCGTCACTAGACTAAGATAGATAATGCATCGCCCGTGTGCTTACACCATATAACCTCTTCTTTTTCTTCACTATAGCCTCAAGGTATATGGCGTTTATGTCAACCTTTGGCTCTTGGATGCCTTCCGCCTACTCGCATTGCAACAACCTCCTATATTAGCTCTTCAACACACTCCTATGTAATTGAACCATTTCAACAACTACTTGCATCGACACTAGAGATTTTTGCACTTGCACTAGAGGTTCTCGTATCTACACCGGAGGTTCCGAGCATCGACCTCGAAGAGTGCCCCATCCGTTAGCATATCCGGTGCTCCGGATAGTTCCCAAAACTCCTCTAGTTGATGACATATTCCCGTCACTCAATGATAGTATGTAATTGATTAAATTCAGTATAATAATTTTTTTATTTTCATATTTCAATTCAATAATTATCGTGTGTTTTTTTAAATTTTCTTTTTCTTTTGATATTCGATAGTTTAACTCCGCGTAGTAAAGATTATGTCGCAAAGAGCACTTGGATGTCGATGGATTGGCATAGAAGTCCGTAGTCGAATCTCACTAAAAAAATTCTATTTTAGTGAATTTAGGGTAATGTATTATTAATTTTCTTTATTATTCAATTTAAAATTTTTCATTAAATGAAGTTAATATTAATTATTTTATTATTGTAGAAATATTTTGATTAGGATTTGACGATCGAGGTACTTATCAAAGAAGCATGAAAGGCTCGGCAAGAAAGCGTACAACGACTTTGTCTATAAGTATAGTTTGCTAGCCGAACGATTTGCTTTTATTCGGTAGGAGGTCCGGGATGTGTGGAGACAAGATTTTGCAAAACTCGATCATATGGCTCATTTACGACAAGCATCACAAAATCGATTGTCGAAAACTAGTAGCCTTGGTATAGGCCCTTCTAGACATATAGGGAGCTCCATATCTTTGAAAGAATAAGCTTGTCACTTAGTAAATTGCATACTTTTTTATTATTAATTACATGTTTTAGAAAATTTAAATTTTAATCTCATAATGCTTGTCATTCATTTTTTTCGAAGCCAAGATTGGGCTATGAGCCAACGAGTTTCGAGTTGTTTCAAACAACCCATAAGCAACGTGATGCTTCATTTATCAATTTGCGCTCCCGATAAAAAATGGTAAGTGTTTCTCAATTTTAAGTTTTACATATGCAAAGATAATCTAAAATTTATTTTAATCTTATAACAATATCATTAATTCAATTACATAGGAGCGTGTTGAAGAGCTAATATAAGAGGTCATTGCAATGCGGTAGGCGAAGGCATCCTATTTTCGAAGATCCCTCAAGTGTGGAAAACCTATAACCATTAACAAAATAACTCATGTACCATCTAACAATAAGCGAGTGAGTTTTGTGCAAGATCTTTTAAGAACTAGTCTTTCATAAAAATTGCTTGTGCATTTTGTGTTTGTAAATTCAACATCAAATCCCCTAAAAGTTTAGTTACCTTTTAATTAATGATACCAACTTACTAAATACAAATAAAATGATAACACTCATATATTGACTAAATCGGGAGGCAAATGGAGTTTTAATTAGAGCATCGACCTCATTCTTGGACATGAAGGGATTGTTTAGCCATGTTTCGATAAGAAATCTACTAAATGATTAACAAAAAATGTGAGTCGAGTATCTATTATGGTTGCTAATATTATTATATGTAATTAAATATGTATTATCTAGAAATTGAATTTTGATAAACTCACTCATTGTAAGGTTTTACTTCTTCACGGTTCAACAATATATATTGATGGACTGCTTTGTATTTGACTTGTGTTAATTTTTGTATTGTGTGTCTACTAATTAATTGGTCTTTTGATTTG